CCTCCTTGTCCTTATCTCAAATTCTTGGGCCTTTTGCTTCCCTCATTCCCAGCACTGGGGAATTCCCAGCTCAATTGCACTTCTTCCCCTAGTGAGTCTGGTTTTTGCTTGTGCCTTAAAGGATAAGATCATTTTACTCCTTGTCCTTATCTCTGTTCCTGAGTCTCCCCTCAGCCTCCTCTTCTCCAGACTAAACACCCCCAGTTCCCTCAGCTGCTCCCCGTACGACCTGTGCTCCAGACCCTGCACCAGCTTCGTTGCCCTTCTCTGGACACGCTCGAGTCATTCAATGTCCTTTTTGTAGTGAGGGGCCCAAAACTGAACACAGGAATCGAGGGGCGGCCTCACCAGTGCCGAGTACAGGGGTCAGATCCCTTCCCTGTCCCTGCTGGCCACGCTATTGCTGACACAAGCCAGGATGCCATTGGCCTTCTTGGCCACCTGGGCACACTGCTGGCTCCTGTTCAGCCGGCTGTCAATCACCCCCCCAGGTCCCTCTCTGACTGGCAGCTCTCCAGCCACTCCTCCCCAAGCCTGTAGCGCTGCTGGGGGTTGTTGTGGCCCAAGGGCAGCCCCCGGCATTTGGCCTCACTGAAACTCTCCAAGTTGGGCTCAGCCCATGGCTCCAGCCTGTCCAGGTCTCTCTGCAGAGCCTCCCTACCCTCGAGCAGACCAACACTCCTGCCCAACTGGGTGTCGTCTGCAAACTGACTGAGGGTGCACTCGATCCCCTCCTCTAGAGCATCAGTAAAGATGTTAAACAGGAGTGGCCCCAAAACCCAGCTCTGGGGGACACCACTCGTGACCCTGCTGGATTTAACTCCGTTTACCACAACTCTCTGGGCCCGGCCGTCCAGACAGTTTTTTACCCAGCAAAGTGTGCGATTGTCCAAGCCTCGAGCAGGCAGTTTTGCCAGGAGAATGCTGTGGGAAACGATGTCAAAAGCCTTGCAGAAGTCAAGGTAAACAACACCCACAGCCTTTCCCTCATCCAATAAGCAGGTTGCTCTGTCCTAGAAGGAGATCAGGTTTGTCAAGCAGGACCTGCCTTTCATAAACCCATGCTGACTGGGCCTGAGCATCTGGTTGTCCCTCATGTGTTGCATGATGTTGCACGTTTAGGATGAGCTGCTCCATCAGCTTCCCGGGCACCGAAGTCAAGTTGACAGGCCTGTAATTTCCCGGATCATCCTTCCGACCCTTCTTATAGATGGGCGTCACACTGGCCAATTTCCAATTAGTCGGGACCTCCCCGGTCAGCCAGGACTGCTGGTAAATGATAGAAAGTGGCCTGGCGAGCACCCAGCCAGCTCCTTCAGCACCCTCGGGTGTATCCCATCTGGTCCCATAGACTTGTGTGTGTCTGTGTGATGCAGCAGGTCACTGACTGTCTCCTGGATTGCAGGGGGGTCGTTCTCCCAGTCTCTGTCTTCTGGCTGTGGAGGCTGGATTCCCTCAGTACAACTGGTCTTGTTATTAAAGACTGAGGCAAAGAAGGCATTAGGCACCCCAGCCTTCTCCTCATCACTCGTTACCAAATTTCCTCCTGCATCTAGCAGGGGATGGAGACTCTCCCTGGACTTTCTTTTGCTGCTGACATTCTTACAGAAACATTTCTTGTTATCCTTGATTGCTGAAGCCAGATTAATTTCCAGTTGGGCTTTAGCCCTCCTGATTTCCACCCTGCAGAGCCTCACAGCCTCTCTGTAATCACTGTGTGTGGCTAGCCCCTTCTTCCAAAGGCTGTAAACTCTCCTTTTCTCCCTGAGTTGCAGCCAAAGCTCCCTGTTCAGCCATGGTGGTCTTCTCTGGAGTCGGCTTCTCTTAGAGCACCTGGGGACCGCCTGCTCCTGAGCCATTAACATTCCTTCTTACAGAGCGCCCAGCCTTCCTGGGCCCCTATACCCTTCAGGAGAGTCTCCCAGGGGATCCTGTCAAGCAAGTGCCTAAACAAGACAAAGTCAGCCCTTCGGAAGGCCAGGATGTCAGTCCTGCTTAGCTCTCTCACGGCCTCTCTAAGAATAGAGAACTCTATTATTTCATGATCGCTGTGCCCTAGTCGGCCTCCAATCTCCACGTCGTCCACCAGCCCTTCTCTGTTCACAAAGAGGAGATCCAGTAGGACACCTTCTCTGGTCAGTTCTCTCACCAGCTGCGTCAGGAAGTTGTCTCCCACACATTCCAGGAATCTCTGGGACTGGTCCCACTCTGCCATGTTGTATTTCTAGCAGATGTCTGGGAAGTTAAAGTCTCCCACAAGAACAAGGGCAAGCAATTGTGAAATTTCTCCTAAGTGCCTATAGAATATTTCATCCACCTCTCTGTCCTGGGTGGGTGGCCTATAGTAGACTCCCACTGTGACATCTGCCCTGTTGGCCTTCCCCTGATTCTAACGCAAAGACACTCAACCCTGTCTTCACTACACCTGTGCTCGAAGCAATCATAACAGTCCCTGACATACAGTGACACACCACCACCTCTCATGCCTTGTCTATCCCTCCTAAAGAGCTTGTAGCCATCCACTGGCACACTCCAGCCATGGGAGACATCCCACCATGTTTCTGTGATAGCCACTACATCATAATTTTCCTGTTGCATCACGGCTTCAAGCTCCTCCTGTTTGTTACCCATGCTGTGTGCATTGGTATAGATGCACTTTTTTAATTTAGAGGTCCTAATTCCAGCTTGACCTTTCACAGGTGTTACCATGGTTACTGATCCATCCATACCCCTTGCATCTTTTTTTGTGATGGCTGTCTCCATCCCTTGCCTCCACTGAGATGGCAGGGTGAGGGTCACTGCTGGCACACCAGCCCACAAACTCTGGTAATCTACCCTGGGCTTATGCCTGGGAGTTCCAGTTTTGTCCCCTTCTCCCTTCAAATCTAGTTTAAAGCTCTCAACGAGCCCAGCTCACTCCTGCCCCAAGATCCTTTTCCTCTCTGGGACAGGTGCATCCCATCTGATGCCAAAAGCTCTGGCATCCTGTATACTAACCCATGATTGAAAAATCCAAAGCCCTGCCAGTAACACCAGTCTCGGAGCCACAAGTTCATCTGTTGAGTCCTCCTGTAGTCTTCTTCATCCATTCCTGCAACTGAAGGGATAGAGGAAAACACTATTCATGTCCCTGATCCCTTAACCAGTTTCTCCAAGGCCCTGAAATCACTCTTCATTGAGCGACTGAAAAACCAAGAGCGAGTACTAATCCTTGGATCTCACTAGAGTGGGGATTTTGCCATGAGCTGCTTTAACTAGGCCCCAGGGAGGCAGCAACTTCCCTATGAAGTGGGTCCAATCTGCATATGGGGCCTTCGACACCCCTCAGAATGGAGTCACCCACTACAATGATCCTTTTAGGGTTCCTTTTCGAATTGGTTTTGATACCTGCTCTAGAGCAGCCTGGCCTTGGTGGACCTTGATCTTCTTCCTTATTTGACTCATTTGCTTCATCCTTCTCTGCTTCATTCAAAAGTTCCAGGGCCCTGTATCTATTGTGAAGGGGCACCACAGAAGGTGAGGGAGGTTGGGAGGGGATTTTCCTGCCTCCCTGAACAGGGACCTGTTTCCAGCCTCCCCCATCTCTCAGGTCCTGGTAGCAGGAGGGTGAGGGATCACCTGCCTCTTTTGGAGCCTCCATTAACTACTGTTGCTTCAGGGGTGCCAAGGAGCTACTCCACCAATCAATTTCCCTTTCACACTCCCTAATACTTCTTATTCTTTCAACCTCTTCTTTCACCAGGCTGAGGAGGTCATCCAGCTGATCACAGCACACACGGGTGTTGTCACTGCTGCCCTCTGAGAGGGAGCAAGGTGGCAAGGTCTCCTACCATGGCTTTCTCCTCTCTGCTGGTCATCAGCATGTTCAGATGCTGGAATGTCTCTTGGCTTGGTGTGGCACTGGGCTCCTGTCTCTCTTGGGAGATGGAGTCTCCTCCTTGCAGAAGCTCAAAGGTTCAGGTTGAACCTGGAATCAGAAGTGTGGCAAGGAAAGCTCATGGTTTCAATTACGGGATCACTCTGGCATCTCCTGCCAGGTTTAGCTCTGCCGAGAGGCACCCCAGGGGTGGCTGTGGGACACAGGGTGTATCTACAAGCAGCACTTTCAGAAGTTGCAGAACCAGAGCCTGCAGATCACAGGGCTGTGCTCCACCATCCATTTTGGGCAGCCTCCACTTGCACCCTTCCCCAGCTGTCCTGCACAACAGAGGACCCCAGGGCTACACCCCTGGCCACAGGAGTGCTTAACCACATGCACAAGGGGCAGATGCACCAAGTGATCATCCCAAAGCACATACATGGAGAGGCTGAGTGTTTAATGGTCAGCATCTGAGGGACAGCAGAAGGTCCAGCCAAGGCCAATGAGCCTGTAGCAAACCCTGGGGTCTCACAAGGCAGGGCCCCTACTTGAACTAGAAACCCCAGCAATTCCATGAGCAATATGTTTTTTATTTTCAGCAAAGAAGGTTATAAAGTTGCTCCAGTAGTGGGTGGTAATTTTGTGTGAGCTTATAATTTTGTCACACAGCAGTTTGGGTCTCCTGCAGTGAGCAGAGACAACAAAGACTGAGTCCAATCCCCTCCTGGCTGCCGAGAGCCAGGAGCTCCCCTCCATCCCTCACCATGCTGCTTCCATTCCCCATTCTTTCTGCACCAGCCCTGGGGTTCTGCCTTCACACCCCCAGAGAAAAGTCAGAGCTAGTGTGTGCAAAGAGCTAGTTTTATTCACAGGGGCACATCAGACATGAAGAAAGCAGAAAACACATACAGGAAATATACAGGGAGGCTCTGCTTTTCATACAAGCAATCACTATTAACAATATTACAGAAAGAATAAATAAAAGTGATGTTGCTACAGGAACCCACAAGAACGATGCTCTCCTCCATTTGCCATGCATGGCCGAGCCTGCAGACCTCGTCCTTCATGGTTGTGTCTCTTCAGTTTGAAAAATACTTCTCCAGCACCTTTGTTAAAAGCCCTGTCTCCTACAAGAAAAGGCACAACAGTGAGACACTGGGTCCCATACACAGCCTCCACCACGGGGCAGAGGATCAGACAAATGTCCCATGCTGGACCATGATGGCACTTTCTGGGGTGGTTTGGGACAGCACATGAGAAGGAAAGAGCTGGGAGCTTGGCTCCTGCCTCCCATCCTGTGCTCCAACAGCTGGACCACAGCTGACACACACCAGAGGCAAACTTCACCAGCCCACTGAGACAGATGTTCCTCACTGGGTTGAAGAAAAGAGCAGGCTCAGGTCCTGATTCAGCAAAGCGCTATGCGAGAAGGCAAAAAGAGACACAAAACACAAGCAGGGAGCAGGGAAGAGTTACAGAGGGATTCTGTGGGATTGCATACCGCCCAAAGGTCCCAGACCACGCAGAGCAGCATCTGCCTTCCCACAAAAGGGCTCTCCCCACACCCCTGGAGCCGTTCCACTCCACACACATGGTCTCACCCTGCCTCCTGGAGAAATGCTGCTACACACTCAAGATGACAAAGGATGGGGACAATCCTCCTCGGCCAGCCAAATCCTTGTCACACACAGCAACAGGGTGGCACTATGAAGCCCCAGCGTGCTGACAGCCAAGCCCTGCCTGCCACACGGTTAAAAAGATGAAATAGAAATCCCCATTTGCAGACCCATTCTGCTCCGTGTGACTTCTGCCATCACAAGCACAGAGCAGCACATGGGCTCCCGTTTTGCAAAGAGATGGGAAACATCTTGAGACAAAATGCAACAGCAGCAGGCAGGGCTAACCCATGCGAAGGGAGAGCAAGCAAAAAGACTAAGCCCTGGGATTTATTTAATGCTTAGAGGGGCCCCACAGAAAGGAAGAACTTGTATGTGAATGATCAGTGACACCCTCAGAGAAGGATATATCCATTGGGTTTTCCCAATAAAAGCCAAGTTTCCTCAATACTTATCTTGCCACGAAGCACAGCACATGTGCTGGAGCAAAGCAACACTTAAACAGTGCATGGACTCCTGCCTCGCTGACCAGGGGGTCCCAAGGAAGGGAGAAGCATCTGTATTTTTCTAAACCAAGTTGAGATGGAAGTGACAGATCCTGAGCAGGAGATAGAGTTTCACGGAGCAGAGCTTTTAAACAGCTTGTTAGGTAGGTGGTGAACAGATCAGCTCAAGCACAGGCTGGCTGCTGACCCCAGGTGTCCAACAACAGTCATACTGAGGGAGAAAGCTGTCAGGGTGGCAGGAATTTGCACTGGCACCGTGTCACCAGCAAGAGCAAGAAAAGTAAGGTCCCACAGAAAAGTGTAACTCAGACAGCACTCAAAGGCACCAGCGAGAAGTAGTCCTGTAATATCAACCAGCAGCTCAGAGGCAAGGATGCCGTGGGGGACAGGTGTGGAAGAAAGGAGCGGGAAGGCAGGAGTGGATTCTAGTCAGGTGCTGAGAGATGCCTGAAGAGCAGAACCAGACCCATCACCCAGCAAGGTCTCTGCTGCCACCAAGAGGACAGCTGGCACAGCAGGGCACTGGCCAAGGAGAGGGGAAAGGCTTTGGGAGGGGAAAGGTGAGGGGTAGGAACCAGCTGCACATCAGGCACCTCAATTGTGCAGGGCATCCCAGCTCCTGCTGGAAAGGCATCGGGGCAGTGAGGCAGGCAGCTGCCAGCATCTGTCTGACTCTCAGCCAAATCGCCCTCCAGCAGCAGAGCTGATACCCAGCACACATATGCCAAAGGCTGATGTCCAGTGCTGGGTGCCACCCTTAGAGCACTGGGAACCGGCACTGACAGGGTCAGCAGGGCACCAGCACCCAGCCTGCAGCCCAAAACAGCACCAGTGCTCAGGACAGCCTCTGCCCAAGCACATCTGCAGTGCGAGCAGTGACCGTGTGACTCACCTAACAGAGGAGAGCCACAGGGATCACTATCACATTCACACCACACGCTCACTAACACAGATGAGGCAGGGCAGCACATCCACCAGCTCTCCCGTCATCTCAGACAGGTAATGCAGCAAATGCCCTCCTCCTCAAAGGCTGCCCAGGGAGGAGGGAAAAGGGTTCAGAACCTTCACAGCCCTCTCCTCCCTTTCAGCTGCATCGAAGAAGCAAAAGCTGCAGCAGTGTATCAGACACAGCATCTTAAGGGGAGCAGGATGAGCTGGTGTCTTCAGCCAAGCCCAGCTGTATCTTCATGGTGGAAAGCCCTCTCTCCCAACAGGACCAGCTCTCTAGGAAAGCCTCAATTTACCTTAGTCTGCTGAAACCAATTTGAGAAGGTGCTTGAACAATCAGTGCCACTCAAGCTCACATCTCTGCAACCCTGTTCCACCTTTGCTTTCCCAAAAAAGCAAAGAATGGGAGCAAGCACTGCCTAAATCTGGATAACAGAAGCTGTTGCAGTGTGACTCGACAGCTCCTCGATGAGGTAGCACATGTAGGATCTGCCTAAGAGGATTTCACCCCTTTTAGGCTCTCAGTTACTTCCTGCAGGGACTAGAAAGGGCAAGACACCAGGGAAGCATGCATGAGGCAACAGACAAGCAGAGCCACACAGACCAAGCAATTCCATCTCCATGTCCCACGTGAGGATCTCTGTGTGTGCATTGCTCCCAGGAGCAGGTCTTCTACCAAGAGTTGGGTGAGCTCTGAGTCAAAACCCACAATGAAGTGGCTGAGGATCTGCTGATACGCAGTGGGAGCACCAGAGCTCCTGCCAGCTCCCCAGACCTGCTCAGCAGCAGTACAACGCCCACCCCCCACCTCTGCAAGGCACGCTAACAAAGCTACGTGCTCCTCAGTAACGAGGGATCCCCACCACAGCGACACAGATCCAAGATGGGGGCATCAGAAGCCCAAGACCTCTGCAGAACAGCCTCCTTTCCCTATCACACACGGGGCTGCGTCACGCTTGGCTTCCCTCTACAGAAACAGAGGGGAGAAAGGATTTCCCTGTCCCTGCAGTGGCTGGGAAAAGGGACATTTCTTCACTGCAGCCACAGTGGCCCATCATCTTCTTCTACATCTGGCCAAGAGAGACCCAGATGCTTCCTAACAACCCCTGGGCTGGAGATCACCACTGCCACAGCTTCATCGCAGCATCCCTTGCTTGTCCTCACACCTTTCCCAAGTATTTGGGACTATTAGCCACTGTCCAGGCTAGACACAAGCCTAGGGAGACTTCTCTGCTCCTTTATGGATGGTTTTAAGCAGTTTAAGGAAGGTTAACAGGAGCAGAAAGGGGGGGGGGGGAAGGGGGAATACACCTCTAGCAGCCGTGCAGATGCTCCTGCCTCCAGCAATGTTGGCTGTTGCAGATTAACATCTCCACCACCTCCCTGCTCTGAGCATCTCCCTCCATCTTAGTCAATATTCACCTGGTCAGTGAGGTCATATTTTCCTTGGTTCTCATCCAAAAGTCTCTCTTGCAAGAGGATTTTCAGGAGCTCACGGGTAAGCAGTTCCATCACGTCCTCCAGCAAGGCTCTGAGAGAAGGACCAAAGGCCATCGGCACTGCAGGCTCCTGCGGTGACTCCAGGCGCGGGGAGCCCGGGACACTCTTCTTGCCCATGAAGTGACCTGGAACACAACGCGCTTGTGTGTCTGCACAGGCCGGGGGCAGAGGCGGGGGCTGTCGCCTGCTGCCTCATGCCAGCACCAGCCCGCGAGAAGCGCCGAGCAAACCTCCCACCTAAAGTACCCGAGTACAACCAAGTGAGGAGAGAAACCCGGCGGTGCCGGGTCCTGCACGGGACTTTGGGGAAACTTCCCCGGGCTCTCCGGGGCTGAAGAGAGGCTGGACCCGTCACCAAGGGGCGAAGCGGGGCGCCGGGCAGCTAGGG